GTGGAAGATAGTGATTTGAAAACTGTCAGGATGGTGGTAGATGGCAAATGTGAGCTCTGTGAAAACGGGGCTCTTGGTTAATGTCTGGTGTCTCCAGAGCTTACACAGCACACACACAATCAACACTTGCTGAATAAAAGATTAAATGAACCCGAAGTGGTGGATGAGATCGTGTAGATAGTATGTAGTGTACGTGGAGGAAAGTCTATGGGTAGGCAATATTTAAGAAATGGAGAGAGCTATTATTAAAACAAGGATTTTTAAAAGTCCATTGATTTTGGTGACGAGGTCAATGCAATAACCTTAGAGAGAGTGATTTCAATGGGTTGAATGGCAGTGAGGAAAATAAAGGAGAGGAGAAGAATTAACCTGCAGCTGAAGGGTTTTAGGGGGTATAGATAGGGCTTTTTAATCTGGGAGAGAATTAAATACATTGAATTTGCATTTTCAAAATTACAAATTTAAATAAGCAGAACTGTAACTAAGGCAGACAAATTCTAAGGCGGTCCCAGTAACCCTTCCCTTTGAGTGTGGGTAGCACTTGTGATTTGCTTCTAACCAGTAGCCTATTGCAAAGGTGATGGGATGGTATTTCCATAATTATGTTGTTATATAAGTCTTCATCCTGCTAGCCAACTTGCTATAGGGATTGTCCCAGCTGATTTCAAAGAAGTAAACGTCCATGTTATGAGGCTCCCTTGGCAAGGAGCTTAGCACAGCCTCTAGGGGCTGAGGGTAATGACGTTCAGAAAGAAGTTATGGCCCTCAGTCCCAGAGTTTCAAGGAAATGAATTCTGCCATCAACCTGAGTGAGCTTGGAAGTGGATTCTTCACCAGTTGAGTCTCCAGATAAGAGTGCAGCCCAGCCACCATCTTTTTTTTTTTTTTTTTTTTTTTTTTCTGAGACGGAGTCAGCTCTGTCGCCCAGGCTGGAGTGCAGTGGCCGGATCTCAGCTCACTGCAAGCTCCGCCTCCTGGGTTTACGCCATTCTCCTGCCTCAGCCTCCCGAGTAGCTGGGACTACAGGTGCCCGCCATGTCGCCTGGCTAGTTTTTTGTATTTTTTTTAGTAGAGACCGGGTTTCAACGTGTTAGCCAGGATGGTCTCGATCTCCTGACCTCGTGATCCGCCCATCTCGGCCTCCCAAAGTGCTGGGATTACAGGCTTGAGCCACCGCGCCCGGCCCCAGCCACCATCTTGAGTGCAACTTTGTGAAGCCCTAACCAGAGGACCTGACCAAGATGCACCTGGATCTGACCACAGACACTGTGAGGTAATATATATGTGTGTGGTTTTAAGTCATTAAGTGTGTGGTCATTTATTGTGCAGAAATAGATAGCTAATATAGTAACTTTTCAATTTATTTTTTTCCACTTCAAAAAAAATGGAGGCAATAACATACAGTAAAGTGCATAGGTGTGTCCAATTTGGTTAATTTTTATCTATGTATACATTCATGCAGCCATAACTCAGATCAAGATATGGAGATCTGCACTGCCCCAGGAGATGACCTCACACTCCCCTCCCCTGCTGCTCCCAAGGGTCAACAACTGTGCTGACTTCTACTACCATTAGTTTATCTAAACCATTCTTGAAATTCCTATCAGTGGAATAATGCAGGATGTGCCCTTTTATATCTGTCTTCTTTCACATCAACATTTATCCATGTGTTAGATGTATCGGTAGTTTGTTCTTTTTATTTATTTCTTTTTAATGAATATAGAACAGTTTATTTATCTCTATGGTTGATGGACATTTGAGCTGTTTCAAGTTTTTGCCTGTGATGAATAAAGCTATCATCAAAATCTCCTGTACATGTCTTATAATGAAAAATGTCTCATTTCTGTTGGGTCTATATCCAGGAATAAAATTGTTGGGTTATACTGAATGTGTATGTTTGGCTTTAGTAGATATTGCCAAACATTTTTTCCCAAAGTGGTTGTATCAATTTTTACTCCCACCAGCAATGTATAAGAAGATTAGCTTCCTAAGCTAATCAACACTTCTATAGTCAGTCTTCTAAATTTTAGCCATTCTGGTGTGTTGTGATATCTCATTGTAGTTTTAATTTGTATTTCTCTAAGGGCTAATGATGTTGAGCACATTTATTGGCCATTTCTTATTTAATTTAATTTATTTATTTTTGAGATGTTGTCTCGCTCTGTCACCCAGGCTGGAGTGCAGTGGCTCGATCTCGGCTCACTGCAAGCTCCGCCTCCCGGGTTCACGCCATTCTCCTGCCTCAGCCTCCCGAGTAGCTGGGACTACAGGTGCCTGCCACCACGCCTGGCTAATTTTTTTGTATTTTTAGTGGAGACGGCGTTTCACTGTGTTAGCCAGGATGGTCTCGATCTCCTGACCTTGTGATCTGCCCATCTTGGCCTCCCAAAGTGCTGGGATTACAGGCGTGAGCCACCACGCCCGGCCATTTATTGGCCATTTCTATATCCTGTTTTGTGAAATGTCTGCTCAAGTTCTTTGCCCATTTTAAATTTAGCTCTCCATCTTTTATGTATTTATTTATTTAATTTTATTTATTTTTTTTTTTTTGAGACAGAGGCTCACTCTGTTGCCCAGGCTGGAGCACAGTTGCACAATCTCAACTCCCTACAGCCTCTGTCCCCCCAGGTTCAAGTGTTTCTTCTGCCTCAGCCTCCCAAGTAGCTGGGATTACAGGTGCACGCCACCACAGTCAGTTAATTTTTGTAGTTTTAATAGAGACGAGGTTTCACCATGTTGGCTAGGCTGGTCTTGAACTCCTGACCTCAGGTGATCCAGCCATCTTGGCCTCCCAAAGTGCTGGGATTACAGGCATGAGCCACTGCGCCTGGTCTACTTATTATTTTTAGGAGTTATTTATATGTTCTGCACATGAGACCTATGTCAGATATGATGTATTTCAAAAATTTCTCCCAGTATATGTTTTGCATTTTCATACTTATAGTGTGATTTTTGATAAACAGACTCTTAATTTTTAATAAACTCCAATTTCTTTTATGGTTTTTATGTCTTTTATGGTTAGTGTTTTTTGCATTTCTGGTTTAGTAAATCTTTGCTTATCCCCAAATAATATTTTCCTATGTTTTCTCTTAGAAGCTTGCTTTGTTATAAAATTTAGGTCTGTGACTCAGCCTGAATTAATTTTTATGTGAGGTAGGAATTAAAGTCCATTTTTTTCTATGCCAATTTCTAATTGCTTCAGCACCATTGATGAAAAAGAATGTCATTTATCCACTTAATTATGAGTGCCTTTGTCATAGATAAAAGGACTATATGTGAGGGTCTGTTTCTGAGCTCTCTATTTTATTCCATTGGTCTTTTGTCTATTTTTGTGCTAAAACTATGCTGCCTAATTATTCTTATGTAGTAAATCTTGAAATCAGATTGTTTAAATCCTTCAACTTTGTCTTTAAGGTTTCTTGTATTTTTTAAGATCCTCTGAATTTCCATATGAATTTTAGAATTAAATTATCAGTTTCCCCAAAAGAAACTGCTAAAATTTTGAAGAATCATATTGAATTTATAGATAAATTTTGGAGATCAATGCCATTTTAACAAACTTGAGCATCTCAGTTCATGAACATGGGATATAGTTTCATTGACTTAGATCTTTGCTAATTTCTCTTAGTAACGTTTTGTAGTTCTCCGCGTTCTTTTTCACAGAAATTATATCTCTACCTCCCATTTACTCCCAGTAGTGGTAGAAAACTTAATTTTGCCAATTCAGGATAACTCAGTCACTTCCAATGACTTCCAGTCCATAAGCCCTCAGTCCTCATCTGTCCTTGCTGGCCTCTGCTGAGGTGTAGTTTGTCCTTGCTGGTCTCTCAGTGGTGGCCACTGTCCCCGCTCTTATCTGCTGCTCATATTTGTTATAAAGCTATAGTTTCACATAATCCACATTGCACATCTGGCCACTGGCCAGCTCAGGAAACACATGGAGCTTTCTCATGCTTGGACTCATATACTACGTGGGAATGCAGGACTATTGTGTCACCAGGCACAGTCCCCGGCCATCTTTATGTGCGGCTCCATACTGTCTGGACATGGGACATCTCTAGGGACCTTGTAGTCTTTAATTCCTCTTAATGGACCTGTGGTTTTTGGCCTACACACTTCCTGAGGGATTTGATCAGCAGAGGAGAGAGGGCAGCAACCCCAGCTTGGGGCTAACTTCTCTCTTTTTCTGCCTCTCTCTCCCACAACTCCTCCCCTCGGTTCTGACATGTCTCTAGTCTCCTTTATATGGCAAGAAAACTGGTCCTAAATCTTCAAGTACATTTCCTCCAACTCTGTACTTAATGATCTTCAAATCGAAGCTCTAAATCCTCGATTCTCCCTTCTTGATTGTAAAAGCCAAAGCTTGTTGTACCCCTTATCCCCACTCTGCACTGGCATGATCCTGAGTGAATGCCCCCTTGAATGGCACCTCCCTTGCCCCACCCTCGCTCCAGTGTGTGGTCATAGCACTGAGCCACCTCGTAGATCACCCTTCCTTTGGGAAGACTTCACAGAAGGGGCAACATTTAAATAGGGTCTTAAATGAGGAGTGGGAGTTTGTTGGGTGAAGAAGTGAGTGTGTTGAGGAATGCAGCCCTGCCTTAGTTTTTGGGATGAAGAAATGGAAGGAGGAAAAGGGGCTGGTGGGAAGCACTTAGGTTTGTACTAAGGGGAGACCAAGTGGTGAGAACACGGACTGTGATGTCACATGGAACTAGGTTTGGATCCCAGTTTTGCTCCTAACTAGCTCGGTGGCCTTGGGCATATAAATTAACATCTTTAAGCTTCAGTGTCCTTAGTTGTGGAGTAGGGATATGGATGCATGTTTGTCTGAACTAAGATGGGGACAGAGTAAGTGTAAGGATTATACTACACAGAGCGAGGCACCCAGAGGTGCCCTTTTGTGACAGTGGGACAGTTACCCAGTTCCTCTGATAAACATGGATGACCCTTGGAAGCCCCTGAGGTTAAAAAGAAAAAGTCATTGCAACAAGACCAGCTCAAAATTTAAGCCACATGGTTTATTTCCTTCTGTGGTGTGGATGAGACAAGCCATCTCATCTACCAGGGCTGGTGAACACCAGGCTGACGTGTCTCCTTGTCCCCTGGAGACGAAGCCCAGGTCCCGTGGTAACCTTCTGTGGTAGCCTTGTCCTTGGGCTGTGGGGGTGGGGAAGGGAGTGCTGAGAGGCACAGGGAGGTCCCGAACTGCCACTGCTATGCCCCTGTCGATGCTGACTGTCATGGCGCCTCAGGAGTGGGCTGGCGCCAGCTCTCCCCTGCAACCTCCCCTACCTTGGGAGATGGTGGTGGGGGCGGGGCCAATGCTGACTTCATATTACAGACAAGGAAGATGAGGGTTTCCAGGAACCGGGGGGACAATGCCTGGCCTAGACCCAGGACCTCAGGGAGCCTGGGGAGCTGGAAGGGCCTGGTGAACCTTATCTGGTTCAGCATTCTAGTTTCCAAATGGGAAATCTGAGGTCCACGGATGTGGCAACAGATGACAAAGGACAGAGCTGATTTTGGGGCCGGGAGAGCTGCGGTCAGGCCACTGCCCTGCTGTGAGGCCTTGGTCTGGTATCTGCACCTCTGTGGAATGCCAGGGTCACACTCTTCCATTCTGGAGGTTTCCCGGCTCTCTGAATTTAATGACCTCCCCGAGGCCTGAGGGTTGGGGGCAGGCCTTGAACCTGAGTCTCCAATGAGGCCAGGATTTCCCCAGTGAGCAGAGAAATGCTTAGATGCACAAGGCGGGTGTCCCTGGAAGGGTGATGGGGCTCGGGGAGCTGAAGGACGCACACCCCTGACGTCAGCTTGGTGTCTTTTAGAAAGAAACCACTGGGGAAAGTGTGGGAGAGACGTCCCTAGGCATGCTTCACTCAGATGCCGGAGTGTGTGTGGAGGTGGTGAGGGAGGGCAGCTGGGATGGGGCTGGCCCCTGATGAACAACGTGGGGGTGGGGAGAGGCTGGGCCCAGAGGGAAAAGGCTGGACTCCACCCACAGGTGCCACATCTGCTACTCAGACGACTCCTTGGGCATATATGCCACATTGTCATAGGCAGGGGGTGGAGAGGCTGCCGGGCTGGGGATGTTGAAGTCTGCGCTGAAGGCGTTTGGCAGGAAGATCACAGGCTGCAAAGAAAACAGCACTGAGCGTCCCGGAGGACGCTGGAGCTTCAGGGTAGTGTCGCAATAGTGCCCCCTTGTGGGTAATCTGAGAACAGCGCCCTGGTACTGAATTCCGCAAATATTTCCAACAACATTTACTGGGGCCAACTATGATCCAGGCATTGGGAGTACAGCAGTGAACAAAACAGACAAAAGTCCCATTTCTCCAGGCGCTAACGTTCTGCTGTTCTTTTTTTTTCTTTCTTTTGAGATGGAGTTTCCCTCTTGTTGCCCAGGCTGGAGTGCAATGGCGCGATAGCGGCTCACCGCAACCTCCGCCTCCTGGGTTAAAGCTATTCTCCTGCCTCGGCCTCCAGAGTAGCTGGGATTACAGGCGCCCACCACCACGCCCAGGTAATTTTTTTGTATTTTTAGTAGAGACGGGGTTTCACCATGTTGGCCAGGCTGGTCTTGAACCCCTGACCTCAGATGATCCACTCACCTCAGCCTCCCAAAGTGCTGGGATTACAGACGTGAGCCACCGCGCCCGGCTCTGCCGTTCTTTCTCTCCCTACTGCCCTGGCCTGGTTCAGGACTTCGCTCTCTCTTGCCTGCACCAAGGCACCAGCCTCCTTGCAGCTTCCTGGCCTCCAGCCCCTGCTTGTCCACCCTCTCCACCTCCCGGCACTGGACAAAGCCTCTTGATTGATTCCCCTGAACCAGCTCACTCCCCTGCTCAGACCTTCGATCCCCTCACCCTCAGTGCACCCTATCGTGCACCTGCAAAGAGCACCCCACCCTGTGGCCTGCATTCGCCTGCCCAAGGCAGCCTTTGATCCATCTGGTTTCCCTGCCTTGAACACTCACTCCAGCCCCTTTCTGTCATCACTGTTCTCCGTTCTTTTTGGAAATCAAAGCTTAATTTCCATCTCCATCATGCTGCCCTCCCTGATACCCCTGTCTCCCATGTGGCCTGGGAACCCCAAAAAGTCCCACTCCTCTGGGTGCAGCACGGCCCCCATGCCACCAGCCCAGGATTTCCGTTCTGCAAGGCTCCCTGCAGGGCTGCACAGAGCAGTGGCCCTGTGGGTGCTGGTGCCACCCAGTTCCACTGGGAGAACAGTCTTGTCTTCACTGACCTGTGAAGACGTCTTTAGTTTTGTTTTGGTTTTAGAGACAGCCTCGCTCTCTCACCCAGGCTGAAGGGCAGTGGTGTGATCATAGCTCACTGCAGCCTCAACCTCCTGGGCCCAAGCGATCCTTCTGTCTCAGCCTCCCAACTAGCTAGGAGTACAGGTGCATACCACCACATCTGGCTAATTAAAAAAAATATATATATTTTTTGTAGCAATAGGATCTTTTTATGTTGCCCAGGCTTGTCTCAAACTCCAGGGCTCAAGGGATCCTCACATCTCATTTTTCAAAGTGCTGGGGTTACGGGCATGCATCACCATGCCCAGCCCAAATACTTCTTTGGGCCGCCTGACATGGATAGGACACCCCTGCTAGCGCTGTCTCTTCATATTGCTTCCCAGAGTGCAGAGGGAGGGGGCTGGAGGCAGAGTGCGCTCCCAGCCAACTGTGTTCCACAGAGGCTCAGGTTTAGTGGACGTGGGGGTGGGGGTACTCACCGCGTTGACCTGGGCGCAGGTGGCTTGGCACCCGAAGTGAGTGGCAATGACTGCGATGAAGAACTCCAGGATGGTGAAGATAGCAAGCACGGCCAGATAACCCCTGTCCACATCCTGGGGACCAAAACCCACAAAAAGGTGAGTCCAGAGTTCTAGAGGAAGGGGGTCCCCCAAGTGAGAACCACTTGCCCAAGGTCACACAGTTAGTTGGGGGCAGAGCTGTGCCTAGAGCCAGTACCCCTGCTGCCAGTCCTGCACCCTCCCCTTCACCCTGCAGGCTGCCTCCTTGCTCCTTCTGATGCCCATCTTGGGGAAGGCTGAGAGGATCCATGGATTCGTGGGGTCTACAGGGACTGGCAGGCCTTGCCAACGTCCTGGCACTGCAAATTCTCACCCCCCTGCCCTCCTGGACATGGCTGCATCATTTTCCAAGTTTTCCTATCCCGGGGACCATCTGACAACGCACCCAGTTAGTAACACCAAAATCCATGAGCAGAATGGCTGTCCCAGCAAAGGCCGCCATAGCGCTGAGGATGTTGGCACCCAGGCTGCTCCTCACCTGCAGAGAGCAGAGAGACAGGAGCAGAGGGAAGAGGCAAAGAGAAGGAGAAAAGGCAGGGGCCTTGGCTCAGCTGCCCAGCCCCCAGCACGCCGCCTCCCACAGCCAAGGAGGCACTGGCCGCACCTCCCTGCACGCAGCTGTGTTCTCATTGACGGCTCTCCTTTTCTATTCTCCTCCCCTGGGACCTCGGGAGGAGGTCTTGTCTCTCTTTCCTTCTCTCGTCTTCTTGGAAGCTGCTAGGGAGAAGGGCAGCACCTCCTTTACAACCTCTCTGGGTGGAGTTTGCAGCCTTCGGCCTATCCTGTACTGTGGCTCCCTCTCCCCCAGGCCCAGCGCCTTGCAGGAGCAGCTGCAGCTGAGGCCTGTTCAGGGGCATGAGTTGGGTGAGGCCCTTTGCTGTGGACGCTGAGGCCTGGTTGGGAGAGAGGCTGAGTTCACTTCCATGAGGTCCCAGGAAGTGGCTGGCGGAGTGAGGCACGCACTGCAGACACTGGTGGGGAATCAGGCAGAGGAGACAGGAGAGGCAGGAGCTGAAGGTCTGAAGTCTGGGTGGGCTGAGAGGCCTGGGACTCCAGGGTCTGAAGAGCGTGCAGGAAGTGACTCCCGGGGTGGTCCAGGCAGTCACCCAGGCATCCCCATGCAGCCAGAACCCGACGGTCTCATGACCCATAGCTGGAGCCTTCTGGTTAAACTGCCCCAGGATTAAAGGGGGAAACACTCGTGGGTGAACTGGGGACTCTAGGACCTCTTCAGGTTTAAAGACTCCTGATTCTTCTTTTTAAATGGCAATCAGGAGGTCATTGAGATCAGAACAGCCTCACAAGAAATCCATTCATTGATTAAGCCAAAAGCTTTTATTGAGCACCTACTGCATGCCAGGCACTATGCAAAGTGCTGTGAGTCCAGGAGAGAGTAAGTCAGGTCTTGTCGTCCTGAAGCTCATGGCCTGGGGGACCCTGAGTTTGGTCCGGAGAGTCCTCCCTTCTAGTCCCACCCCTCCACAATCCATTCTCTTCCCTGCACCTGGGATACCTCAAGTAAGGAAACAGGGCAAGGCATCCCCTGCTGAAGGCTCCGTGGTCTCTCGTTGTCCTTAAAATAAATCCTGAACTTCGCATTTAGGCTTTGAGTCACCTCCTCGGCCTCTCTCTCTCGGCCCACCCCTTGCCTGTGATGGTCCCGCACTCCGGTCCCCCGTCCAGAGCCCATGGCGTTTCCTGGCTGGGCTCTTCCGTGGTTGTCCTCCTCTGAACTGTTCCGTGACCCCTGCTCAGGGACCCCAGACTGTCCCAGCTGAGCTTAGAATTATCCTGCCTGCTTCCTTTCAGCACTTTTCGTGCTTGGCAACTGCCTTCTTTGTGAGTGTGCTTTATGGGCGTCTTACCAGGCACTAAAAGGTAAGTGCCACGGCCTTCGCTGCGGTGTTCGTGATCTTCACTGCTGTGTTCTCTGAGCCTGACATAAAGCTCACGCCCTCCTGTTCAAAGCCTCCGTCAGCTCCCAGCGCCTGCAGGAGGCACCAAGCCTTCCACGATCCAGCCCCATCATGGGATTAAATCTCTCCGTCTAATTTCTTTCCACTTTCCTTCCCCTACCTTTGCTTTCACTGGACGGAGCCATGCGTGTTTTCAGCGGCGACCCCGCCCACGCCCCTCCGTGCATTCTCCAGCTTTCCCTGTGGCATTTCTAAGTCCTCTCTGCGCACCAAGGCCCAGCAGGACTCTTACAGGAGATCTTCTAGCATCTTTCCTTTCTCGGAATGACCATGAGCATGTGATCCGTGGACCTCACTTTCCACTCCGGCTTGTGTATTGAGAGTATCCCTGTCTTCTTCTCCTGTACATGACTGGTCTGCGTCTGGTCTGCCTGGGTGGTGCTCCTTCCCTTGGCCTTTAGCAGGTTCCCCGGAAGTGCTGGGGAATGAGCTGAAGGAGTGAGTGGATGGGAGGGGCAGGGTAGAGTGAGATTTAGCCGTGGCCTCATCCCCGCCCCTGGGTCCCCCTGTTCAGACTCACCAGGCAGCTGGCGTGGTTCTTCTCGGCTGCCACTGAGAGGGATCCGGAGATGATGAACTGTGTGGGGAGACGGGACCCAGTGAGGCCTCATCCAGGACCCCGGGCAGGGCACACCCCTTGGGATCTGTCAGGAGGTGCCAGGGAGAGAGAGCAGCCTCCTGATGCCACTTTCTCTGCCAGGCAGGCACCTTGGGGTCTCTCGGTAGGGGTGTCCCCTGTCCAGGGAACTGGGGATGTGGCTTACAAGTTGAGTGTTTTCATTGACGCCATATCATCAGGGCCTTGTGGGGAAGGCATTGTTCCTTCAAACACTCACTCATCAAACATTTACTGAGTGAGGTTGAATGTGGTGGCTCATGCCTGTAATCCCAGCAGTTTGGGAGGCCGAGGTAGGAGGATCACTTGAAGTCAGGAGTTTGAGAACAGCCTGGCCAACATGATGAAACTCCAGTCTCTACTAGAAATACAAAAATGAGCTGGGTGTGGTGGTGCGCACCTGTAATCCCAGCTACTCAGGAGGCTGAGGAGCAAGAATCACTTGAACCTGGGAGGCAGAGGTTGCAGTGAGCTGAGATCACGCCACTGCACTCCCGCCTGGGGGCAGAGTGAGACTCTGTCTCAAAACAAAAAACAAAAAAAACCCAAACATTTTCTGAGTGGCAGTTATGTGCCAGGAACATAACAGAGTTATGGAGCTTACATTCTAACTGGGGAAGACTGACACCAAACAGTGAAGAAAGTACAGACAGTGGTGTTAAGAGCTGTGATGAAGTCATAGCACTCACTGGCGCTACTCGAGGTTGGATCAGGGTTGTCTCTGTGAACTGGGATGACAACAGCCGGGCATGAGGCTGCCCATAAGGATAGCCCAGGAACCTGCATCATGGCACCTATGTACTTGGCAGTCGCCTGACACACTGAGATGGGGCTGGCCCTGCATCTGCTGAGCTGAGAGGGTGGAGCTGAGCAGTGCCACCTCACTCTGGGCCTGCAACTTAGCAGGTCTGCAATTTGCAGGTGGCACTCGGCTGCCATGCTGGGGAGACCACAGGGTCAGCGGGGCGTGGAGGAGGCCCTGCGGGGACATGGAGACAGAGGACCAGAAGGGAGTCACTACAGGTCTCCAGTAGGTGTAGACCCACATGCTGGCCATGGGGGTGGGAAGAAGGGGACACACTCAGGCTGCGCTCTGGGGGACGAGCCAGCGGGACCTGCCGCTGGGGTGGATGTGCAGCAGGGAAAGAAAATACTCTAGGATGACTCTTAGGATTTGCTTTGGCAGTTGGATGGCTGGAGGTGCCATTTGCTGAGATGAGGAGATGATAGGAGTAATAGTAATAAAGTTTTTGCTTTTGTTCCTTCCCCCATTTTTGAAGCTTTACTGGGCATATTTGTGATAAAGTTCGGTGGAATGGGGCTCAGAGGGGAAAGTGACCCGTTTGTTTCTTCCTGTTGTGATGTCTCCCCATGGACTCTCGTGATTGCAAAATTTTCCTCCACCTTCAGGTCACTACGGACTTTTCAAAGGGCCAGAGCTTGTCCCCAAGCATGGCCAGGTGACCATCCTGATCTGGTTGTGATATGTCAGCCACTTTGTCCTCCCTGAACCCCATTCTGGTGGATTCTGTGCTCTTGCTGGAGGCAGCCTGGGCAGGGGAAGAAAGTCGCTGTGCTTTGGTTCTGGAACCAACACTCACGCAATGGAGACCCCCTTTATGCAAATCTCTGGCTTTCTCTCCAAAAAGGGAATCACTCAACAGTCTCCATTTGGTACAGAAGCTTAGGGTTAGTAATCCACTCACCATGCACATTATCTCTTGATGTCCTCTGCAAATCTATGGGGTAGGCAGGGCCAGATCTATGAGCCCAAGTTTTAGATGAGGAAGTTGAATCTTGAGATTCAGCAACATGCCCGAGGGACTCCACCTTAACGTGCGGTGGAGCTGAGACTCAGACCCCGCTGGTCTGACCCTGCGGCCTGTGCTTCCTTGGGGTGGCTGGAGGCTCTGGTGATGTGTTGATGGGGGTGCAAACACCAGGGTTCACTGCAAACACTCAAGTGCCCTTTAATGTTGGCAATGACAAGGACTCACCTGCCTGTTGTCCGGCAGGGGTGAGTGGCCAGTTTGGCCAGACGGAGGTCAAAGGAATGGGCTCAGGGGCTTCAGTGCTGGTTGGACTCCCAGGGGACGGCGGGGCTCATGGAGGGCTGGGACCCAGCTCAGGGAGCTAGAGGGTTTCTGCAGGAGGGGTTTAGATGTGGGGTGAGGCTTAGGATCTGGGTAGTACGGGTGGTTTGGACCCAGCCCTGATGACCGCCATCCTTTTTTTTTTTTTTTCTTTTTGAGATGGCGTCTTGCTCTGTTGCCCAGGCTGGAGTGCAGTGGCAAGATCTCAGTTCACTGCAACCTCCCCCTCCCGGGTTAAAGTGATTCTCCTGCCTCAGCCTCCCAAGTAGCTGGGATTACAGGCATGCACCACCATGCCTGGCTAATTTTTGTATTTTTAGTAGAGACGGGGTTTCACCATGTTAGTCAGGCTGATCTCCAACTCCTGACCTCAAGTGATCTGGCGGGCCTCCCAAAGTGCTGGGATTACAGGCATGAGCCACCGTGCCCCGGCCTTTCCGGTCCTTTTTGGCAGCTTCTCTGGCTGTTTGCTGGGAGCTTTTCATCCGCAGGAGTGGGGTCAGGCTCAGGTTTATGGTGAGGGTTTGGGGGAAGGAGTTAGATTTAGACTAGTTCTTCTAGGAAGTGCTTCCAGGCCCCCACCTAGGAGAGGCTGTGCCCAGGAGGATGGTGGGGGTGGGCTCATGGGGGAGACGTGAGCCTGGGCAGCATCCCCCCTACCCTCCCTCTCCATGGCCCCAGCACTCACACAGGCTCCTCCCCAGAAGGGGACACCGCCCTCGATGAAGAACATGCCCACGTGCCCGCGGCGAACCATGAGCAGCACGCTGCCAAAGCCCAGGTAGATGAGGCCCACGAGGATCTGCACCGTCTGCGGGAAGCCCCAGGCTCAGTGCTGCGGGCCCTGTTCCACACCGCCCCCTGCCGGCCCCGCCCTCCTCTAGCTTGTTGGCGACTGGGAAAGAAACTCAGATTCTGTTCTTTAGAGGCGACATTATTACAGCAACCAATAAAGACACTTTTAAGGAGAAAGCTAGTTCCCCGCAGCCTACCGGACCCACAAAGCCCAGCTCTCAGCCGGCCTGCCTCCTGCTTTCTGCTCTGATCCGTGGATCTCAAGCATCGCCGTGTCGCTATACCTGGCTTTCTTAGGACCCCATTCGATGAGCCAACATTCCCTGCACCGCATGCCTCACCTTGCCCATCCTCATTCCCCAGCACCCCCTCAGCCTGCAGCGAGCACCTTCTCCTAACATCATCTTTCTATTTCGGTGTCCATCACTGATCGCCCCAGCCCTGCCTCTCAGCCTGCTGAAATCTCCACTGGGATTTTTTTTTTTTTTTTTTCCCTCTAAGAGTTGGTTTACCAGCATCCTACTAGTCTATGCTCAGAGGTGGGATGGTCTTCCCAAGTGTGAGCTTCTAGTAAGGTCTGCCACATAGCAGAAAGATTGCAATGCTTTGGGTGACTATTGAATTCTGGAACTGAGTGGAAAGAGATGTTGAAGACCATTGGAATCCAGCCCTGGGAGCCCAGGAGCCCCTCCCGGCTCCAGGACTTCCATGGGGACTCCAGTGACCAGTACTCACCACTACCCAAACCAGCATGGTCCTTTTATGGGCAGTTCTGACTGGGAAGAACTAGAATTGTCATCTCAGCGTCACGTGGAATACATATTTCTTTCTAACATGAGCGACAAGAATTTGGATATCCATGGGCATGAGCCCCTGATTCTTCAGTTTCTTTTTCTCTTCAGCGACCTGTCTTTCATCTTTTCAGTGTCCTCACAGGGTACAGCATGGCATGGCGTCCAAGGCGCCAGCGTGGCTCCCCTTCCTGGTAGACCTTTCCCCTGCGGGTAGCCCACCACAGTCACTGCCATTACGCCTTGGGAAACACCCGCTGCTGCTTATTGAATGCCTGTCAATGCTAAGCACTGTGCTGGGGGTTTTACAGATGTGGTCTCACTTAATCCTAATGAGAAGAGGTAGGTTATTACTATTATTATTGTTATTTTTGAGGAGTTTCGCTCTTGTTGCCCAGGCTGGAGTGCAATGGCACGATCTTGGCTCGCCGCAACCTCTGCCTCCCAGGTTCAAGTGATTCTCCAGCCTCTTGAGTAGTGGGGATGACAGGCGCCTGCCACTGCTCCTAGCTAATTTTTGTATTTTTAGTAGAAACGGGATGTCGCCATGTTGGCCAGGCTGGTCTCGAACTCCTGACCTCAGGTGATTCACCCACTTCGGCCTCCCAAAGTGCTGGGATTACAGGCGTGAGCCACCGTGCCCGGCCAGAGGTAGGTTATTATTAACCTAATTTTGGAGATGAGGAAACTGAGGCTCAGAGATGTTCAGTAACTTGCCCGAAGCGTCCCAGCTACGAGGCGGCAGGCCAGCTAAGTCTGCAGTGGTATTCTCAGTGGGTGGCATTCCATAACTCTTATTTCTATTTTCCACTTTTTTGTGCTTTTCAGCAGTTTGTCTCATCAATATATATTTTTTTTTTTGGAGGGAGAGAGCACTGGTCCCCAGGGTCTGCTTTGGTTTAGAAATTTCAGCAATTGTTGATCCCCTCTTTGTCCACTGTCTCCATGGGCCACAAGTCAGGGGCTGTGCGGTCCTTGGTGTCTGTGCCCCCAGTCCAGTACCGCCCCTCCACCGCACCAATGGACGTGGTGCAGCTATTAGGGTAGAATTCCAGCATGTTTGAGCCAGAGGTCCTGGATGCCACAAAGCAGAGGCATTGAAAACAGAACTTTAGGGTCAGCCATCCTTAGTTTGCAGGATGCCATTTATCAGCTATGTGGCCTTGGGCAAATGACTTAGTCTTAAGAAACCTCAGTTTCCTAATCTGTCCAATAGGACCAATGATCCCCTTCTTACAAGGTGGTGCTGAGAATCTGGCGAGACGATGCATGCAAAGTCCCCAGCACAGTACGTGCACCTCTGAGAGACGCTTCATAAGCAAGAGCTGTTATCATCTTCACTTTCATTATCATCACCATTGCTTAATCTATGCTTTCATCTTCCACCTGGAGAAACTGAGGCCAAGGAATAGACTGAAGAATCTACATATGTGTGTGTATAATTAAAATAGCAGGAGGCCATTAGCCTGTCTCCATAATTTGAGTTCCTACCTAACGAACTGCAACCCAACCAGATGCACTGAAACCTAACTTAGGAGTATATTTTTGTAACAAATAGCTGGGTTTCAGCTAATGACAAACAGCTTCAGCCAACTGATCAGACCGTGCCCAAATAAGGCAAACGCCTCATGACGTCATGCCCAAATAAGGCAGACACCTAGCTGTAGCCGATGGGGAGATTTCTCCACTTCACTTCTGTGTTTGCCCTATAAGAGCTTATTGCTCACACAGCTGGATGGAACTCTCTGAACCTCTTCTGGTTTTGAGTGCTGCCAGATTGCTGAATTATTCTTAGTTCACATAAACTCTGTTAAATTTAATTTGTTTAAAGCTTTTCTTTTTCTTTTTTCTTTTTTTTTTTTTTGAGACGGAGTCTCACTCTTGTCGCCCAGGCTGGAGTGTTGTAGCACGATCTCAGCTCACTGCAACCTCCGCCTCTCGGGTTCAAGCAATTCTCCTGCCTCAGCCTCCTGTGCCTACAGTGCCTGTAGCTGGGATTACAGGCACGCGGCTCCACGCCTGGCTAACTTTTGTATTTCTAGTAGAGACGGGGTTTCACCATGTTGGCCAGGATGGTCTTGATCTCCTGACTTTGTGATCTGCCCACCTCAGCCTCCCAAAATGCTGGGATTACAGGCGTGAGCCACCGCGCCTGGCCTAAAGTTTTTCTTTTTAACAGTACATGTATACATATACACGTGCAAATGTGTGTATGTATCTTTCTATCTCTATCCGATATTTTATGCCTTCAGTATTTTATTGAGACCAATAGCTCAAGGCCATCTGAGATTGAAATCCTTCATGCACTGTCAGCTTTGTCAGGGCTGACTTTCATCTACCACGTTCGCTCCATCTCATCTCCCCCTTTCCTTTGCTCATTACGTTCCAGCTATGTCAAGCTTCCACTTCTTCCTTTAACAGCCACCCTCATTCCCAAGGCCTTTGCACCTGCTGTTCTCTCTACCTGGTGAACCCTCCCTCTCCAACCCCTCCACCAGCTATTCCCTTGGCTGGCTTCAATCTAACAGCCAGTTTTGGCTTAAATGTCATCTCCCTGGAGAGAAGTTTCCGTCTACCCTCGCTAGTATTCCCCTTAGTCCTAGTCATCCTTTTCAACCGTACTTTTCTCTTTGGAGGTTTCTGAGTCATTTCTTTACTGGTTTACTCTCTGCGGGCTTTATGTGGGAAGGGTGCTTGTCTACCTGGTGCATGGCTGAATCTTGGAGTCACTACTAAGTATTTGCTAGCTGCCTTTTCCCCTCTCCAAAACATGCATGAATGTTCCGGTGCTGGGATACTCACTACCTGCCTCAGGTTGTGCAGAGAGGCTGTTCTTACCCCCAAAACTTTGGGCTCTCCTGTCAGGAATGTCTCCTCTGGCTGTAAGTCAGGTGGCTGTGTGGCCCTTGGTGTCTGTGCCCCCGGCGGTGGCTCCTCAAACTGCATAATCCCTGGAGGTTGGCACATGGACGTGGGCAGAATGGCTGGAGGTGGGCGGAGGCCACTGGCATTGCTTGGTGGGATGACGACAAACACCCCATTGCTGGTGGGAGCTGTAGACATCGTGCTCAGAGAGTCTGGAAAACAGAGGCTGGGGAGATAACAATGGTAATGATGATTGTTCCACATGTGCATAAAGCTTTTCAGTTGATAAGCAGCATGCCCACCTGCCCTTGCTTACTGCAGCCCTGTGAGGATGGCCCCAAATGTTCTTATCAAAGCTGGGGAAGCTGAGACTCAGAGAAGCGAAGGATGTCCGAGGTCAACGGCCTCTAGGTGGGGTAAGACTGAGACTTGAATTCCAGTCTCTCTGGTTTCACAGGCCCTTCTCTTAATCTCTGAGCTATATTATGTGGAAAGCTCCTCTTGGAGGAGTGTATATTTAAATGCCCTTCTTTTCCCAGAAAGGGCAAGTGACTTACCTAAGGACACACAGCTAGTGCTAGGTAGAGCTTAGCTAGAGCACTGGTTTCTTCCCCTAGACCAGGACTCACCGCCACTTCCTGCCTCTCAGCTCATGACTATTGAGCTAGTATCAATAATTCCCCTGGGTGTGGGGACTTCCCACCTGCTGTGGGAAGGTTTCTATTTGGCCACCCAAGCAATTACCATTGATATAGCCAAGATATGTGTAGATATGGAACTTTATGCAGAGCTTATAGCTTGCAGTGAACGCCAAGAATGAGTTCTTAGACAGTTCCAGCTGAGCGGGGCTTGGTGGGGAAGCAGCTCGTCTGAGAGAGTCCACCCCAGCATCCGTCCACCAAGTATTTACTGAAAGAGCTTGTCAAACCACAAACATCCACTCGATGGCTTTTTGAGGGTCATGAGACACCTGTGGACTTGTAAAAGCACTCAAACTGCCTTCTTAGGAGGCTGTTTTCAGCGTTCCTTATTACACACCTCAATCCTTGTCCTGTTTTTAGGGTCAAGGAGTTACATTCTCATGCACAAATAACATACACACAGTACCTCAGTATTTTTCCGTGCCCCGACCTCAAATGCCATGTACATAAGCTTGGATATGTTGCTGTGCACCCTCAACATCTCCCCCGTCTTTAATTTTTAGAGTGTGTTGGTTATTTAACGAGAGGTAAGCTTTTACTGCTTTTTCTTGGTTACAGATGCGCTGAGTGGCAGCACAGAGCCATTTGTACATACCTAGCAAACAAATATAAGAAAGAATAAGTATAGCGGCCATTACCCAAATGCGTATGTTTAACCCAGATAACTAAGTGTTTGGGTTTAACTATTGAAAGCCTTTTTGTAATTGTTGAAGGGTATTTGTTTATAATTGCTGCGGCCATTTTTTAAGTTGCTTTTTAAATTTACACTTAAGAGTGGAGATTTGAGAAGACGAATGGTTGTGATAAGCCTCTTGTGGGTGTTTTCACTCTCTCCCAAGCATATTGGGAGCTATTATACGGCAGAGGTGTGACATAAATAGAATTATATTGCCAGTTACAATATAAATTTTGATGGGTAATGAATGCCTGCTGCTGATCTCCCAGCCATTCAACAGTGGCTCTAAGAGCCTCCGGGCGAGACAGAGTAGTTTTATGAATATTTACCTGTTTCTGAAATGTGGTTCACCACTGAAGCTGTGTGAATAGATTTTGTTAGAAAAATAGCTGCAGTAGCAGCAGTTGCTAATATAATAATAGCTGAGACTAAAAAAAGCAATTAAAGTGGCCAGAAGTGTTTTTTTTCTGAGTATGAGACAGTGCTTTTCTAAATAGCTACAGGGTCAAATCTCTTTCCCAGCTCCAGGTTAAATTTATGGGCAGCCAAAATTCTGCATGCCATTTTAAGATCATGACATAGGTTATATTTAACGATGTAACATTTCGATGAGACAGGCATGCAGCATACCAACTACTGGAAGAGACTTTAGTACTATAAAAGGATGGATTCTGCTCTATGTTAGGAATACCTCGCCCAAACAAAAGTGTATAAGGGTGCGTAGTACAAGTCATAACTGTGTCAGTAACATTATTATGGAAAGAGAGGGGATAGTTGCCACCACTAGTAATATACTCACCATGTGAGAAAACCCGTTCAAAAAAAGTAAGTCCTAATCTCCAAATGTGGGTATGAGCAGGGCTTAAAGCTTGTTTCTTTTAGTTGTACTATTGGTCCTGAAAGCCCATCCTCTGATCAGGTGATAGACTTATTGGAGAGACTCCCAGATCCAATAGTCTGATTTGCAGACATAAGATAACCATGGGGACTCCAATCAAGTAAGGTGCCATTATCAAACAGAGGCCCTTGACACAGTGCAGGCTGTCTGGACAGAGGCCACTGAATGGCCTCAAACTTATATCACCAGTCCCTACTCAGATGGCATATAGGAAGATCAGGCACTTGTGTAGCTTCATTAGAGACCTCAGTAAAATCAGTGGTAATAGCAGAAATAAAGGTCAAGTTTGCAAGCTTAGCATCCCTTTTAGGCTGATAGTAAAGATACTCCTGAAGAATAAGAGTAACACACTTATCATGTGCTATTGTGGAAAACCAAAGAGGGGGATTACTAGACAATAAAATCAAGGAGTCATTAAGTTTAATCCATCCCAAATTTTCCATTAAAGGGTAAGACAGGGGCATCCATTGACCTCTTGTCCAAGAAGTATCATTAGATGACAAAGGCGGGTCAGCATCCCACCAAGAAATAACATTAAAAATAGGGAGACTTAGAACATGACTCCAGTAAACATGCTCTTGGGCTGATCCCACTTGGCAAAGGACAAGAATTACCAGCCACCCCAACATCTACGTCTGTCTTACTTTCTCAGAAGTTTTCCCAATTACTGCCAGATACATAAGAAACTGATTCCCTGCAGTTACAGAGGCTTCTATGGCGGCAAGCCTGATAGTTGCCTGTTGATCCATATTCTTTAGCTGTCCCTAGGTAATGTCAGGTGCCTTCTGAGTCATCATCATCATTGTTGGTTGATTCTCCAACGACAGGTCCTGTTCTCAAGAAGAGGGCCCCATAGTCCCCCTTTTTTTGTTTATTAAGACATACTTTAAGAGTTTGATGACCAGTTGAGTTATAGAGAATCCCAGTCTTGCACTGTATGTTGATGTTATTGCCAAAGTTGTAATGCATAGCCAAAGTGAGCACTAAGATAGCAGGGGCCATGATCAGTTTTAGAGTTTGTGGAAGGCCTAGAGTCATAATAGATTCAAACAAATGAGCCATTGCACCTTTAGTTTTTTTCTCCGGCCTAGGGGGTAGCATGTGTTAGGCCTATATAAGTGTCCACAGTAACGTGGAGAGGTTTAAAATGTCCAAAGGGTGTATACTGAGTAACATCAGTTTGCCAGGTAGCATTAGGCACCAGACCTCGTGGGTTGCCACCAAGCCCTAAGGAAAAAGGGGGCAGAGAATGCCGTTGGCAATCAGGATAAGTTTTAATAATCATGTGAGCTTGAGCAAGTGTTAAGTGAAACTGTTGTTTAAGACTGCATGCATTCTGATGAAAAAAACCAGCATGATCAGCTTGAACTCACAAAAAAGCAAGAGAGTTTGCAAACCACATCTGTGTTTGTACCAGAGCATTAGCTCGAGCATTAGCTGATAACGGACCAGGTAGGCCAGGATAAGAGTGAATATATGTGATGTAAAGAAGGTGATGATCGAAGTCCCTCCACTCCTGTTGGTATTTCTTGTCAAGTGGAGACAAGAGACTGAGAAAAGAAATAAGACACAAAGTATAGAGAAAGAACAGTGGGCCCAGGGGACCGGCACACTCAGCATGCGAGGACCTGCACCGGCACCAGTCTCTGAGTTCCCTCAGTATTTATTGATTACTATTTTCACTATCTTGGCACGGGGAGTGTGGCGGGAGAACAGGGTGAACAGGGTGATGGTGGGGATAAGGTCAGCAGGAAAACATGTAAGTAAAGGAATCTGCGTCATAAATAAGTTCAAGGGAAGGTGCTGTGCCCGGATGTGCAGGTAGGCTAGATTTACGTTTCTCCTTACCCAAACATCTCAGTTAGTAAAGAGCAACAGAGCAGTATTGCTGCCAGCATGTCTCGTTTCCAGCCACAGGACGGTTTTCTCCTATCTCAGAATAGAACGAATAGTCGGCTTTACACCGAGACGTTCCATTCCCAGGGACACGCGGGAAACAGAGGCCTTCCTCTTAATCTCAACCGCAAAGAGGCCTTCCTCTTTTACTAACCCTCCTCAGCACAGACCCTTTATGGGTGTCGAGCTAGGGGACGGTAAGGTCTTTCCATTCCCATGAGGCCATATCTCAGGCTGTCTCAGTGGGGGGAAGCCTTGGGCAATACCCAGGCTTTCTTGGGCAGAGGTCCCTGAGGCTTTCCACAGCGCCTCGTGTCCCTGGTTAACAGAGAATGGAGAATGGCGATGACTTTTACCCAGCATACTGTCTGCAAACACATTGTTAACAAGGCACATCCTGCACAGCCCTGAATCCCTTAAACCTTGATTCAATACAGCACACGTTTCTGTGAGCACAGGGTTGGGGCTAAAGTTACAGGTTAATGGCATCTCAAAGCATAACAGTTTTTCTTTGTACAGCTCAAAATGGAGTTTCTTTTGTCTTCCTTTTCTACGTAGACACAGTAACAGTCTGATCTATCTTTCTTTTTCCCACAATGATGGGCACAGAGGAGCTCTTACACTGCAAGAAATGAAGGTAGTAGGGGTTCATTAGTAATGCCCTTCACATGTGCAAGATCTAAATGAGTAATACTACACACCGCATAAGTGGAATCACTAACTATATTTATGTCTTGGGAAGGAAAATTTGTAAGGCCAATATCAGGGCACCTAACTCTGCCTGTTGCGTAGTTTTAAAATGTTCCTGGATTTTGTGCTGCCATTTCTGTGTGGCATCTTGCCACACTATAGCTGCTCTTCCAGTTTTTCCTAAACCATCTGTTAAGACAGTAGTGGCATGAAGCAAGGGCTCAGAAACAACAATAGATACAAATTTAACAGGCACAGTTTGTAAGAAGTTCAGGAGCTTAGAGGCTGGTAAATGGAAGCTGATATTACCAATAAAGCCAGCTACGGTGACTTGCCAGTCAAGATCACAAGCTAGAAGAGTATGAAATTGTTTTTTGCTTAGAGGTAGGAAAACAGTAGCAGGGTTATTTTTGCCATATGCCTGGTTAGGCTACAATTATAATATGTGGCTCCGGTCATCACTGCAGCAAAAGTTTGAGTCAGATGAGTTGTAGTGCCTATATTTTGGTATACTTTAATAAACACACTGATTTCAGTGGCAGTGGCTTAGACTGGAGTTATTGCTGTCTGACAATCCTATGTGCATTTTCAAAAGCCAATTGTAACATAAGAAGTTTGGTAGCTTTAGGATGGGGTACCTGTTTTTCAATGGCTGCTTGCAATTGGTTGATAAATTTAATGTATGTTTCTGTGGTACCCCGTTTAACTGTTAAAAAGGAACCCTGGGATTGTCTTATGGTTTTTTGGTTTTTTTTAATGTTTGTATTGCTAGCTGTGAGCATTGAGGAAATAGATGGCCATCTGCTTGAGCCTGAGCCTGGGCTGAAGCAAAAGGCCCTGTTCCCGATAGTACCTCAAGTTGTATTGGGATATTATTATCCAGATTTTGCAAGGACTGCTGCATGGCTAACTCACTGTACTCGCTCCCCCACACGGTATATTCTGCAGCTGAAACCAAAACTTTCACCCAAGTTTTCCAATCATGTGGAGTCATCTTATAGCCATTTCCCAGAGCCTCAATCATCCCCTGCGTAAAGGATGAATGTACACTGTTTTCACGGATACTTTCCTTTAACTTTTTTTTATTTTTTGAGACGGAGTCTCGCTCCTCCCAGCCTGGAGTGCAGTGGCCGGATCTCGGCTCACCGCAAGCTCCGCCTCCCGGGTTTACGCCATTCTCCTGCCTCAGCCTCCCGAGTAGCTGGGACTACAGGCGCCCGCCACCTCGCCCGGCTAGTTTTTTGTATTTTTTAGTAGAGACGGGGTTTCACCGTGTTAGCCAGGATGGTCTCGATCTCCTGACCTCGTGATCCGCCCGTCTCGGCCTCCAAAAGTGCTGGGATTACAGGCTTGAGCCACCGCGCCCGGCCACCTTTAACTCTTTAAAGACAGTAAAAGGCAAACTGTCATGCCGTCTCCTTTTGTTTTGAACAATAACAGGGAACGCGCCAAAAAGCGCCTGAGTCTGCCGTCCTAAGTCCCTCTTGGAGGCACCCCTCTACTGAGGAAGTTTGACGAGTAGTCGGTGTTGAGGACACGGCCACCCGACCACATAGGTATTCACTGACTGGAGGTCTTATCCAAGAACCATCTCTTGGGCAGCCTCCAGTCTCCTCAAGGGGGATGGGAGGCACCATTGCCTGAACGGGGCCAATGAATGCAGGTCCCTTTAAGGGTGGAGGAAAGGAGGGCAATGGCTTTTCTATAGGTGGAGGAAAAGGCTCCCGTCCGTGCTCATCACTAGAAAAAAATATCCTCCTTGTGCCCTACGGAAGGGAATGAAGTAGAGAGAGGATCCACCCTGCCCTCGGCGGCCTCCCGCTGTTCTGATTCCTGTTCTTCCTTCTCCTTTAAACCTCCTGAATTCCCTTCAGGCAGAGAAGATGGGCAGTCTGACCCACCGCAATCTGGCAGATAAAGAGGATACAACATCCAGTGTACCAGGTGGTCCAGGTGGTCAAAATAGTAACCTTAGTAAAATGACCTTGCTCATATCCTCTTTTCAGGCAGTGACCTACCTGCTCCCATAACTCTCTAAGGTTCCTTGATCAGGAAACCAAGGGCATTCCTGCCGAATTAAAATCACAGGCGTGTGTAGAGCTCCAGGCTCTACAGTGCACTGGTTAGCCTTAAGTAGCTGTTGCACTGTTTTTAAAAAAATACTTTCTGTTCTTTGGTCACTTCTTGACCCATGATAACCCAACCCCTGATATTTCACGCGTGGGTCCCATCCTCCTGATGGGAGTCAGGACTGTCCCTTACCGGGATTCCCCGAAAATGGATGAGTTTTCCTCCTTCACGCGTAACTTCAAGGCGATCACGTCGGGGTCAGCACTTTCAGAGCTTATAGCTTGCAGTGAACGCCAAGAATGGGTTCTTAGACAATTTCAGCTGAACGGGGCTGGGGGCGGGGTGGGGGCAGCTCTTCTGAGAGAGTCCGCCCCAGGATCCCTCCGCCAAGTGTTTATTGAAAGGGCTTGTTAAAACACAAACATCCACTAGACGGCTTTTTGAGGTGGGCTCATGAGACACCTGTGGCCTTGTAAGAGCACTCAAACTGCATTCTTAGGAGGCCGTTTTCAGCGTTCCTTATTACACACTTCACTCCTTGTCCTGTTTTTAAGGCCAAGGAGTTACATTCTCATGCACAAATAACATGCACACAGTGCCTCGTATTTTTCCATGTCCCGACCTCAAATGCCATGTACATAAGCTTGACTGTGTTGCCATGCACCCCAACACTTTAGGTGTGGCTGGCCTGGGCAAACACTTTGGGAAAAAACACCCATTACCCAGGTGTCAGGAGACGAGCTTACCAGGAAACAACAGAGTGGTGAATCTGCCAGATTTTACAATGAAATCGAAAACAGTCATCCTTCTTGTTGGCATGGGTGGGTGAGGAGTTTAGCAGTTCAGTGTAGGGGTCTGAGATGGAAGCCAGGGTTTGAATTCTGGCTCCTCTGGTTACTGTGAGGCATAGGAGCAAGAGGGTCACCCCTCTGCCTCAGTTTCCTTACCTGTGAAATGGGGATAATACCACTGGTACCAATCTCACAGGGTTTAGTGTAAACTAGACTGAAAGAACACACACCAACTTGATAAAATCCATCCCTTACAACGTGACTTGTTATAACATGATGCGGCTGAGATGTTTTGTTAAATATAACATATCTAAGTCAGTGACTTACAATGGACCGTGGATGTGCATTGCTTCCCAGTGCTCTGACAGCTACTGTGCACGTTTGGGAGAGCGCCAGCTTGCAGATTGTGCAGCAGATTCTCTGTGGCTCTGCAAGCACTCTTGGCTGATAAGGGCTCAGCCTCACTGTTCTGTGTTCAAAATATGTGTGTCTTTCGGGAAGCCTCTGTGCCATTTATTTTGTGGTAGGTCTGACCTATATTGGTTGACAAAGTGGGCAAGGGACAGCGTTGGTCCCAATGCAGAGAAACAGACGGAAAAGGACACAGAGGCTCTTGAGCAAGGTTTTCAGTGACTGGAGGCACCTCCAAGGAGGTGGTTGAGAAAACACAGGATAAAAATCTGCTGGCATTAGATGGGTGCCATCTAATGGATAGGATAAAGGGGTGGGGGAAGCCATTTGACGTTTTTCAGGGATTACTAGCATGGCTCCCTTCAGCCTAGGAGGTGTGACCAACACGTGAAGGTCAGAGTAGATCTCCGGAGGGATTGTGCTGTGACTTCCCAAATAGCACCGTCTCCATTGGGTCTCGCATTTCCAGGATCTGACACTAACCTGATTATTAGTAGACACGAAAACTACTCAGAACAAAGTTGGCAAACTTTTTCTGTCAAGAATCAGATAGAAATATTTAGGGCTTTGGGGAACCATATAACTTTGGTTGCAACCACGTGACTCTTCCACTGTAGTGCAAAGCAGACATAGGCAATACATACCCAAACGGGTGTGACTGTGTTCCAATAAAACTTTATTTATGCCTGGGTGCAGTGGCTCATGCCTGTAATCCCAGCACTTTGGCAGGCTGAGGTGGGCAGATTGCTTGAGCTCAGGAGTTTGAGACCAGCTTGGGCAACATGGTGAAACCTCGTCCCTACCAAAAAAAAAAAAAATACAAAAAAAATAGCCAGGTGTGGTGGCACATGCATGTCCCAGCTACTTGTGAGGCTGAGGTGGGAGGATCTCTTGAGCCCCAGAGGTCAAGGTTGCAGTGAGCTGAGACTGTGCCCCTGAACTCCAGCTTGAGTGACAGAGCGAGACTTTGTCTCAAACAAAACAAAACAAAAACTTATTTAAGAAACAGATGGTCAGCCAGGTCTGAACTGCAGGCTGTAGTTTGCCAACCCCATTCTTAGAACACTGCCTGGCACATAGTAAACTCTCAGTAAATTTTAGCTATTGCTTCAACTGTGTGTCTCAACCTCCAGAACTATGAGGCGTAAATTTGTGTTCTTTATAAATTGCCCAGTCTCAGGTGTTCTGTTATAGCAGCACAAAATGGACGTATTTGGAAAGACTATATAGCTTCTAAGGACATTGCTAAAGATTGCCTAGCCTAGTTGTTTATTTTGATTATTTGCTGTGAATTTGGGCAAAATGTGAAATGGCACTGAGCTACTCTATGTTTCCATAAAATAAAGATACTGAAGGCTGTTCACTATGCCTCAGTTTATTGCGAGGGTCAAAAATGGATGAGAAAGTCCTTGGAAATTGGCAAGGTGCTGTGGATGTGTCGGGGCTCACTTCTGGGTGAGGGTTTCAAGATGACGTTGCTAATGATCCTATCTCATCGCTCACCTCGCTGGAAAGTTCTTTTTTTTTTTTTGAGACAGAGTCTCGCTCTGTCACCCAGGTTGGAGTGCAATGGTACAATCTTGGCTCACTATAACCACCACCTCCCAGGTTCAAGCAATTCTCCTATCTTAGCCTCCCAAGTAGCTGGGACTATAGGCATCACCAACACGTCCAGCTAATTTTTGTATTTTCAGTAGAGACAGGATTTGGCCATGTTGGGCAGGCTGGTCTTGAACTCTTGACCTCAGGTGATCCACCCACCTTGGCCTCCAAAAGTGCTGGGATTACAGGTGTAAGCCACCACACCTGGACCTCTCTGTAACTTTCTAAATCAATTCACAGTGATAGAGCCCCACACTGTTTCTGTACTGGTGCCAGGTTAATAAGAGCTTATCATAAACATTTTTTGAGGACTTACTCCTTTCTAGGCACTTCAAATAAGTTATTTCTTATACTCACAATGGTCCTTTGATAATTCCTGTAAGTTTGTTTTACAGATGTGATCACCTCAGTTCAGGGCAGTGAAAGGACTTGCTCAAGGTGACATGGCCATGAAATGGCTGGGCTGGGATTCAAATCCAAGTTTGGCCATCCCCAAAGTCTGCACCTGTGCTGCCTATTGCCACCTCCAGTGCCAGACACAACTGTTATCTCCCCATTGTTCCAGCCATTACATTCTAGGTGCCTTCAAGTTTGGCATGGCCACGTGACTTGTTTTGGTTAAACCAATGGGAGTGGAAGTAAACGCATAGCTTCTGGGTGGAGCATTTAGGTGTCAGCGTGTGACTCTGCAGGACTCTTTTTCCCTTTGTCACAGTGACTATCAGTGTTACAGGCAGAGGCTGCCTTATTCATCTGGGTCCCTGCGTGAGCAGAGCCCCCAGGAGACAGAACAGAAGGAAGAAATAAACCTTTGTTGTGTTAAGCCACTGGGCTGTTTGTTATAGCAGCATAGCTTTGTTTCTCCTGATTGTTATATTTTCCAGGAATGAACACATACAGGAGTGAAACACAAAGTTCATGCCCTCAAAGGACTTAGAATTTAGTAGGCGGAGCAAGAGAAGTTTGCAATTCAGTCCGACAAACAATTGTTGAGTGTTTACTATGAGCACCAAGTTCCGGGGCTGGGAATGCAAGAATGAATTAAGGCTAGATGTCCTGCTCTCAGAGACTAGCAAGGGAGAGGAGGCTTGGTGCGGGGAGGGAGAAGCGCTCCTGATTGTGGAACTCAGGGATATCATCAGGGAGAATGTGGACCCGAAACAAGGGTCCTCAGCCTGCTCCCCTGCTGTCCCCATCTCCCTTGCCCCACACTCCTTCTGTTTCCTTTTTCTCTCTTCTTCAATCTCTTCCTCCTCCCCCACCTTCTGTGGTTTGAATGTGTCCTCTCCAAAATTCATGTTGAAACTTAATCTCCATCATGATGGCATTAGGAGGTGGGGCCTTCTGGAAAATGGTTAAGTCATGAGGGCTCTGCCTTATGAATAGATTCATGCTTTATAAAAGGGAGAGAGGGAACTAGCTTAGGTCTTTTTGCCCTTATACCTTCCACCATGTGAAGACACAGCATTTGTCCCCCACGGAAGATGCCGCAACAAGGCGCCACCTAGGAAGTAAGTGAGCAATGGGGCTCTCACCAGACACAAAACCTGCTGGCACCTTGATCTTGGATGTCTCAGCCTCCGGAGCTGTGAGGCATACATTTCTGATCTTTATAAATTACCCAGTATTCTGTGATAGCAGCACAGAATGGACATATCTGAGGAGACGCTACAGTTTCTGAGGACATTGCTAAAGATCGCCTTGGCTGGGAGTCCATGAACACTGGACAAGAGAGACAGACGGCAGAACGATGAAGAATTTGGGGTGAGGGGGGCCCACCCCGCCCACAGGTCTTTCCCTTCCTCAGATGTAATAATGAACATTTACAGCCCACTTCTCGCTCTAAGGGAGAGGCAGGCATGGATTATTAAGTGTGATTTAGAGATAAGAAAACAGAAGTTCAGAGAGGACGAGTATTTTCCTTCCAGTTGCACAGCACCTCAGTGGCAGAACTGGAATGGACCCAGACTCCCATCTCTCAGTAGGAAGAGCGCTGACGTTATGGAATTCCTATACTTTTGGGTTTGAGTCCTGGCTTTGTCAGATGAGGGAACAAATGTTTGAACTTCACTGCTGGAGTAATGGTTCTGAAAAGCTTGTTGTTCACAGATCAGCAAATGATAAACAAATTGGGACCAAACGAGTCTGCCAGTTTTCTACTTCCCCAAGTAAGTTCATGCAAAAAGTCATCCATGTTTTCACCATCATCTAGAAAAGATATTTAACACCAAAGAAGTAGAAAGGACATAATTTTAAGATACAGGCTGAGTGCGGTGGCTCATGCCTGTAATCCCAGGACTTCAGGAGGCCGAGGTGGGTGGATCATGAGGTCAAGAGATTGAGACCATCCTGGCCAACATGGTAAAACCCCATATCCACTAAAAATACAAAAATTAGCTGGGCGTGGTGGCACATGCCTGTAATCCCAGCTACTCAGGAGGCTGAGACAGGAGAATTGCTTGAACCCAGGAGGCAGAGGTGAGCCAAGATCGTGCCACTGCACTCCAGCCTGGGCGATAGAGCGAGACTCCATCTCAAAAAAAAAGGAAAAAAAGAAAAAGATACAAAC